TTTTTTTTTTTTTTTTGAGACAGGGTCTCCCTATATAGTCCAGGTTGGCCTTGGACTCACTATGTAGCTCAGGCAGGCTTCAAAAACTGTGGTCCTCCTGCCTCAGCCTCCTGAGTTGATGGGGTTACAGTTGTGTTTTTTAAATTTTTATTTTGGAGACAGGGACTCAGTATGTAGCATAGGCTGACTTCAAACTTGAGATCCTCCTGCCTTAGGCCGTAAGTACCCGGGACTACAGTACTATTTCCTTAGCCAGGCGTGGTGGTGCACTCCTGTAATCCCAGCACTCAGAAGGCTAAGGCAGGAGGATCATTGGGAGTTCAAGACCAGCCTGAGCTACAAATGAGCTCAAGGGCAGCCTGAACTGCATAGCGAGACCCAGTCTCAAAAAGAGACAAAAAAAAAAAAAAAACTATTTCCCTGTGAGTTGGATTTGGCTCCACCCTTAATAGCTGTGTGATCTTTGGCATATGATCCGGGGATCAAACTCATGACCTTGAACTTGCCAGGCAGGCACTTCTGCCACTGAGCTATATCCCCAGCCTCCTTTGGCATATGATTTAACTTCTCCGACTATCAATTGCCTTGGGTAAATGAAGCTGGGATGGGTGACACAAATTTGTAATCCCAGCAGTCTGGGAGGCTGAAACAGGAGCATCACAAACTCAGAGCCCAGCCTGGGTAATTTAGTAAGATGCTTATCTAAAAATAAAAAGCAATTTAAAGACAGATGTGGTGGAGCATGCCTTTAATCCCAGCAGTCAGGAGACTGAGGCAGGAGGATTGCTGCAAGTTTGAGGCCAGCCTGGGCTACAAAATGAGTTCAAAGCCAGCTGAGCTACATAGCAGGACCCTGTCTCAAAATAAAATAAAATAAAATAAAATAAAATTAGGCTGAAGATGTTTCTCAGCGCGAAGGAACGAGTCCTTCCAGAGACCAGCGCATGAAGGGATGAGGGAGACACGACTAAGTGGCTTAATTGATTTAAAGGGTCTGTGTCAAGCACCTGGTAATCGATCAATTAAATACGTATTAAAAAGTGGATCAGACAGCCGGGTGTGATGACTCACTCCTGTAATCCCGGGACTCGTGAGGCCGAGGCAGGAGGATCTCTGTGAGTTCGTAGGCCAGCCTGACCTACATAAGCGAATTGAAGACCAGACTGGACTACATATTGAGACCCTGTCTCAGAAAACGTAACAAAACAAAAAAGTGGACCCAAACAGCGTGCAGTGGCGACAGCTGGTCAGCAGAGGCCGCTGCTGCGGTCTCCGTGCCCTGCCTTAGCCGCAGCGCAGCGGCGCACGCGCAATGGCGCCTCCCTGCAGAGGTTGTTTTTTTTTTTTTCCTTCTTCTTCCCTCTACTTCCCTGCCCTTTTACCTCTAAGCCTGAATTTCTTACTGCAGACTTTGAACCTGGCTGCGTTTCGTTTGCTC